ACGCCCATATTTTTTAAAACCACGCCCACTTTTGTGAAACCGCACCCAAATTGCAACTATGTTCAATTAACAGTTAACGGAACTTCGAGTTACAGGCAACATACATTTTGGTTTTTGTTGAACGTCCACATTCACTACCTCAAACTTTAAATAACAGTTAACCAAACTTCGAGTTAGTACTTTTCATAAGTTTATTAAAAGTTCGTTTGTGGGCACTTGGGAGTGAATTTTTTTTTTGTGCTTTTTATTACCTAAAGAGTCTTGGCTATAGACTGTTACAATTTTGTAGAAATGTGAATAGTGGAACATATTCAAACAACGATTTTAAAATATAGATAACAGATGCAAAAATTCTCTCTTTTGAATGCTTAGCAAGATTTAGCAAGGCTGTAGATAAATAATGAAAAAAGAAACATGGTGAAAAAAAGAAATGACTGGATCACCATATTATGCACTACCTATATTTAACTTTTAACAAAACTAAAATACATTTAAATTTGGAACTGTTACAGCCATTTTAATTATGAGCATTAGCAAACTTCTTACAGAGTGAATTGTTATGCAAATTAGTGCACATCCCAGAACTTTAAAAAAAAATAGCTCCTAGACGCTTTGACCTTTTGTTTTGAAATTTTCACAAATGATTGACAATGTGTTTATCTTCAAAACGCCGTCGGGGCATTGTTTTTGGTTGAACAGTGTTACAGCAATCGTACAGGCAACTAGCCTGGGTGTTAATTTATGCATAAACTTGAAGTAGTGAAATTTGGACTGCTGCCCTGCAAAATTGACAACTGGTAGACAGTTTTCAAGACGGCACCTTCTTCATAGTAAACAGCCGTACCCACAAACCAATTTTGACAGGAAACAGAAGCATGGTTTAGGAGGTAATTTTTTTAAAATCACTTTTGACCAAAAAAGCACATTTTTGTGCATATCTCAAACTACAGTGTCCATAACAAAATTTATACAATAAGCTTTCCGAAAACATATAGTTTGTGGACAAGGGAGGTCAACTTGGTTTCCTAATTAACTAATTAAAATACCTGTCAGGTAAACTGCATCTCTACCTTAATAACCTGTTAGATGGGTTTTTATATTTCTAGTCTTTATTTAGTCGCCTGCCTTTTAACAAAATTCTCCAAGAGATTTCTCCAAAGCTTGCTGTATTGACCCATGGTATGTATGCTTAACAGCTCACAATTACATTTTATGAACAAATGTGACAGGGGTCAACCCAATGCATGTGCACTATAAATATTGGCACTATGGACCAAATAGTGGCATAGTAGAATCGTTTAATTGTTTCTGTTTGCTAATTTGCATAATTGTTGGTGGATCAACTTCTCATGAACAAATTTCCTACAATTACTCTACAAATATCAATTAAGATACACAACAAAAATCAAGTCAAACAATCCAGCCATCAACAAGTCCATCATCCATCCATAATCCATCCATACTGACTCCAGACGCCGGACACCATCCCAGGTACAATGAGCTAAAAATTAAACAGATGTCATGAGGACCACATGAGGACCACCCATATGGTACCTACATACCTACATCAAATATAAAAGCAATCAGGCTAATAGTTCTCAAGAAAAAGTCTAATACAATTATTTAGCAAAAGTGTCATAATAATAACAAACATAATGTATAACCATCTCAAAAATATTTGATAAAAATAACAATGGAGTTTATTTATTTAAGAATTATAACATGATTTTAAAAGTATGTCTCAAAATGCAATGAAAACTATATACTATATAGAGTCATCTTATCACAATAAAAAATAAAACAGGTAATTTAAATAGTTTGTTCTGCATTCACTATTATATAGTAACTATTAATTACTACTGTCATCTTGGTTGACATGAAGATTCCAAGAGAGTGCCTAGTATGCAGATTCCACATCATCAGTTGAGATGTAATACTCATCATATAACTCATTCCAAGCGAGCGTCTTGTATCACTATGTGAATCCTACATCAAACTGGACAGTTGAGGTGTAATAGTCATCATATAACTCATTCCAAACGAGTGTCTTGTATCACTATGTGAATCCTACATCAAACTGGACAGTTGAGGTGTAATAGTCATCATATAACTCATTCCAAACGAGTGTCTTGTATCACTATGTGAATCCTACATCAAACTGGACAGTTGAGGTGTAATAGTCATCATATAACTCATTCCAAACGAGTGTCTCATATGTGAATCCTACATCAAACTGGACAGTTGAGGTGTAATAGTCATCATATAACTCATTCCAAACGAGCGTCTTGTATCACTATGTGAATCCTACATCAAACTGGACAGTTGAGGTGTAATAGTCATCATATAACTCATTCCAAACGAGTGTCTCATATGTGAATCCCACATCAAACTGGACAGTTGAGGTGTAATAGTCATCGTATAACTCATTCCAAACGAGTGTCTCATATGTGAATCCTACATCAAACTGGACAGTTGAGGTGTAATAGTCATCATATAACTCATTCCAAACGAGTGTCTCATATGTGAATCCTACATCAAACTGGACAGTTGAGGTGTAATAGTCATCATATAACTCATTCCAAGCGAGCGTCTTGTATCACTATGTGAATCCTACATCAAACTGGACAGTTGAGGTGTAATAGTCATCATATAACTCATTCCAAACGAGCGTCTTGTATCACTATGTGAATCCTACATCAAACTGGACAGTTGAGGTGTAATAGTCATCATATAACTCATTCCAAACGAG